TAGCAACTTTCATATACAGTAGTCCCAAACGTTCGGCTATATTCCGCGAATTTCAGCAATGTTTTCAAACAACCGACAGAAAAATTTTAAAATTGTGTTCTACGCGATGGTTATCGCATTATACATCCGTAGTTACACTTTTAGAGAATTGGGACTCTGTATTGCTTTTTTTGCAAGAATTGACAATAAGCGAGAAATCAGAGTCCGGGGAACGTCTGTTAATCTCGATGCAAAATCCAGAGGCCAAAGCATATCTTTATTTTCTAAATTACGCTCTTGAGTTTTTTTATAAATTTAGCATTTTCTTTCAAACTCAAGAGACAAGAATTCATTTGCTTCAAAAGACTGCGGCAGAACTTTTATGCGATATATTACGCAATTTTCTGAAACCGCAGCTTTTGAAACACATGGATTTAGTAAGAATGATGAATTTTTCTGTAGTCGAAAATCAACTCCCATTTAATAGTATAAATTTAGGAACAGAGTGTCTTAATTTTCTGCATCAACTGAATGCAGAAGGCAAGTCCGACATCGTAGAAACCGTAAAGAAAAATTGTTTAATGTTTTATATTACAGCTGCAAATGAAATTGGCAATCGATGACGAATTTCTTAGCAAGTTGTATGTTTTTGAGCCCACTTTTATATTAAATGATACAAATAGAGACATTTCCTTCAGAAATGTTCTCTTAATCGCTAAGGAATTCGGCGGTTTCGACGAAGAAGGACTGCAAACAGAATGGTCAGTATTGCCTTTGGAATTTACAACGAAAGGTAGACAGACGCTTATCGAGATGAAATTCGATGGTTTCTGGAAAACAATTTTATTAACGCGAAATTTGGACTATAAAATTAAATTTGCTGAATTGATGAAATTAGTAAATACAATTAGATCACTTCCAAATTCCAATGGCGATGCAGAAAGATTGTTTTCCATGTTACCTGACATAAAAACAAAGAAACGGAATAAACTTTCTTCGGCCAGCGTCAACTCTATTTGCGTTGTGAAATCTTCGTTAAAGGCGCAGAGGGAAAACTCTCAACCCATGGAGGTAGATGACGATCATCTAGCTCTATTGTATTCCAAAAATTTATATCATAGATTTGCTAAGAAGCAAAAGTGTAATTTAAGATTAAACGCAACATATGACAATAACTTTGAGAATTTTCCCGCTACGTAATATGACGAAAATTAAGGTACCGATTTACTACAGAGCTTTTCTCTAGAGAGATTTTTCTCTCCAGAGAAAAGCTCTATAGTAAATTCGTACTACAGTATTTTCTCTATATAAGCTCGGAAATCAAATATCATATCCCCTCTACTTATCCCCACTGCGTACCGTTAGAACTAAGCACTCGCTGTATCGGCGAGTATGCCTTCCTATGGGCGGTTCCCCAAGATAGCGGCGCGTTTGACAGTCGGTCGTCGAACATTGTCATACGATACGGGCTCAAATTACTAAGGCAACACTAGTGCAATAATACAAATTTTTTATTTTTCCTTTTCTTGTTTTGAAACTTTTAACATGTCTGTGACAGTTTTCTGATTTAACTAAGATCAAGTACAACATAATTTTTATTATTGTTTTTCATAAATTATAATATACATTTGACCTTTCTTTAAAGTGTATCCTCATCTGAAAAAAGGAATTGTAATTTAATTGACCTATCATTTATTTGCCGAAATCGTGAGACAACTCAGAGTAAAATAAGTTGGTTAAACAGTTTAAATTCGCAAGTTATGTATATCTTTTCGGGTTATATCACTATTGCAGTAAACGATCGATACATACATATATGTACTGAAGTTATGACACGATTTAACTAGTACATATACAATATTAAATCAACAACGAAATTCATCTTTATTTTTGTTCTTCCTTTTTTCAAACTTCATCAACATATTCGTGACACTTTTCTGATTAAAATGACACCAAATACGATATACAATTTAGGTCCTATTTACTAACGCAATAAGAAATCAAAGGCATGCATCGCTCAAGTGACTCCACGTCGGCTGTATCGAAACACAGGCGATGTTTACGCGAGCCTATACAGAATCAGTATTTCATTCTGCGACCTCTACCAAGAGAGGTAGAAGTCAGAATTAGAACACCGATTTCGTATAGGCTCGCATAAACATCGCCTGTGTTTCGTTACAGCCGACCCGAAGCGAAGGAAGCGATAGCAAATTCGGCGATGCTCGGCCGCTCAGTCCCTCTTTGTCATATGCTCGCTGTTCTTTTCTATACTCGCCGCCTCCAGTAGGCGTCAACAAAGTATCAAGAATCGTTTCTCGTCCACGATATAGCCGAGCGTTGAGCCCCGAGAGCGTCGCTTCTATAGAGACAATACTGTATTAGGCTGCAATGACAGTATAAACGTTTTCATGCGACGTCGCGGTAGACTGGTCTTGTTACGTCATCGGTACCGCGACGTAGGCGCAACAAGGTGTGATGCATGTACCGTAGACCGATGAGAAGAAGACGAGGCAAAAGTATGCGGGTATGATTGGTCGCTGTCGCTAAGCCACACCTCATGCACACGCATTCTAGATCGTCGCGCGCTATTAGTCGACGCGGTCACACACACTAATCGTGTCGCCTGACAAAGACGCTTGGAGACAAAGTGAGATGAGATGACGTCTGCGTTGCGGTGGATTTTAAACCATGGGCGTAGGCTCGGATTATAGCGTTCTAAACTTTCCAAGCCTACGGTCACTTTTTCGAAATTCAATAGAGACGCGACCTTTAAGACTTAAGCACTCCTTGTTGCCTATCATCCTCTCAAGACAGCCCACATGTTTCCACTTCAAGACTCTCTTCCCTTTTCAAATTTTAAATTCTACATCTTTGCAATACATTGGAAAACAATTTGCGGATAATTTGAAATCGTTGTAATAAGACTCTAAGTTTAGTCTATTAAGAACATTTAATTTCGTTATATACAGGGTGTACGACCACCCCTGGGAAAAATTTTAATGGGGGATTCTAGAGGCCAAAATAACACGAAAATCAAGAATATTAATTTCTCGATTGTAGCTTCGTTAAAAAGTTATTAACAATTAAATTCAAAAGTTTCAAATCGTTCTGGAAAAATTATTTTCGATTGCGGGCATCAATTACAATCATTTTTGGTGAATAGACATACCCCCGAAATCTTGCGCATTTTCGAGGAAAAAATTCAGTGCGGGCAGAATTTTAAATGTTAATAACTTTTTAACGAAGCCTCCATCAACAAATTGGTATTCTTGATTTTCGTCTTAATTTGGCCTCCAAAATCCCGTATTAAAATTTTTCCCAGGAGTAGCCGAACACCCCGTATATGTAAGGAAAAATAATTGACTTTTATTAACAATACAGCACAGTTTCCGTATTTACGTTTTCATTCATGAAAAGTTATGCACGAATAATAGTACTATCTCCCTCGAAAATACGGAATTGCTACGCCTATTGTAGTGTCCGAGTAACCAAGGCGTGGTGAGGTTAATAGTTTATTCAGTATATACAGATATTTAGGAACATCACAACTGGTTCGCCTCGTGGCGATACACTCGTGCCGATCTTCTTTTTGCACTCTCCCTCTCCTACTCGCCGACGCGTGGCGCCGCGACTACCCAGGATCGTAACTAGCAGATCCACCACACCAGGACCGTGACTAGCCGATCCACCACAGTTCGGCCATCCTGACGGATGATTGCCCTCAATCATAACAATTGTGCATAACATATCATACATAACAACAAATAAATGAATAATTTGAACATAAGGTAACATAAGTAATCATAAGGAATGAATAATCGAACATAAGGTAACATAAGTGTTCGCGCCCGAATTGTTGTAGGTCGGATTGGAGTGATGCGATGTCGTCGTGTTGGAGAGGTTTCAAATGGTTTATTTTTAATAATAACAAAGTGGACTGTATGAATGTTTTCAAGCGCGTTGAACTGTGGGAGGAACTGTTTCCCCCGCGCTTACTTTATCAAAATGCGTTCAACTCAAGTAAAACTGCTGTACTGTTACAGACTTGTTAGTTAGACTTGTTAGACTTAGTCGCTTAACGACTGAACCGAGAATTGACCTGGTTTGTCGGTTGACGACTGAAACTAGAATGAACCTGGTTTGTCGGTTGACGACTGAAACTAGAATGAACCTGGTTTGTCGGTTGACGACTGAAACTAGAATGCCCAATGTGTCCGGAGTCCGTTTCCTCCTCAGCTTAGATCCCCTCCAAGAGGTACACTTGGGGGGTGTTTTGCAAATTCATCTGTGGAATCGTGAGTCGATTGATTGGCCATCGACTTGGGAGAGGAGGACCCATTTTCCTGCCCCAGTTTGGCAGCAAGCTCCTCCTTCACCTCGGTGGTGGAGGAAAGTCCCAGGCCACGCTGGCGAGGGTGGCCGAGGTTTCCTCCCCAAGTCGACGGCCGCGTTAATTTATCGAGGAAGAAACGGAACTCCGGATTATCCACGCAACAAGGGGTTGCGTCTGGTCTACGTCTGCTTTTATGGCTATATTGTTCCGCGTGTCGGCGGTGGCCTTTGTCGTCGGTGCCTACATTTGGCCTCGACGACCGTACCACCCGCGGAACAATATAGCCCTTCGCTGGTCAACTCGAGTGTCGCGTTTCTTTCGTTTTCCAAAAATGCTATTCTTTTACATTGACATTTGCCAGATGCGAGAGACTCGAAGACGTTTGCAACGTAGTACCGATCCCGCATCTGGCAACATAAAGGACCGGAAACAACTCGAGTTGGCCAGCGGAATGAGCGAGCTTTTGTTTACCGAACATGCCGCCCACCTTGAACGGCTGTCGTTCAAAAGAAATATCAATAAATACCAAAAACATGGAACAAACAACAGTGGTAGTGTACTAGTTTAACACATATCTATATCTAATTCGATTGCAAGGCATCCTACGCTACTATTTACAAATGGTACAATGGTTGATGATCTTGCAACGTAAATCTAAATATTCTACTACACTTAACATTGAGAAAGTTTATACACATGCAGGCTCGGCTGCCGCGGATTCATTGTTTTTTGTGTCACGATTAACACTCGATCCAGGCTGATCCTTTGGGGATGAACTTTCATCCTCCGTAGGCAAAATGCAAATTTTTGCCACAGGTCGCTTTATGACTCCATCGGCTGTCCGGATGGAAACGACTCTGGTGATCTGGTCAGTGCCTGGGTGTAGAGCCGTGATTCTTCCTAGTTTCCATCTTAGAGGAGGGAGACTAGCGTCTTTGATGACGACCATCGTGCCCACTCCGAATCCTTCTGGTACAGCGATTTTCCATTTATGTCGCTGTTGCAGCTGATGGAGGTATTCCAACTGCCACCGTTTCCAAAAGTGCTGCGACATTGCTTGGAGTAGCTGAAACCGACTTAAACGAGTAGGTTTGACGTCAGTGACGTCAGGATATGGAAGGTCCATGAGTGGGCTGCCGGTGAGGAAGTGACCAGGAGTGAGGGGATTCAGATCTGTGGGATCGGTTGATACAGGACATAGTGGCCGAGAATTCAAACACGCCTCTATCTGCGCCAGAACAGTGGCCAGTTCTTCAAATGTTAGCCGAGTTTCCCCAACGACTCGAGTCAAAAGCCGTTTCGCGGACTTCACGCAGCTCTCCCACAATCCCCCGAAATGTGGAGAGTATGGTGGGATAAAATGCCACTGCATACCCTCAGTGACCGTAAATTCAGAGAGGGTATCCCTTCGTTTTTGGTCTGCAAAGAACTCTTTGATTCTCTGCATTTCATTGCGTGCTCCTACAAAATTGGTGCCGTTGTCTGAATATATTTCGCGACACCGGCCTCTTCGCGCAACAAACCGTTTCAACGCATTTAAAAAGGCATCCGTCGATAAATCTGAAGCTACTTCTAAATGGACGGCCTTTGTGGCTAAGCAAATAAACACGCAAAGGTAGGCTTTAGTCGTCGTCTTGCTACGGACCCTTTCTTTCAGGTAGAACGGACCCGCGTAATCGACACCGGTAGAAAAGAACGGCGGTCTTATTCGTATTCTCGGTGCAGGCAACTGCCCCATCAGGTAGCTGGTACCCTTTGGCGCAGCTCTATTACATTTAACGCAGGTTCGGATTATCCCCTTGGTCAGATTGCGTCCCGTCAATGGCCAATACCGCGTTCGAACCATTGATAATACCGTTTCGCAACCGGCATGTAAAACGCGTTCATGTGCACGACGAATAATCATTCGCGTAACATTGTGATTCTTCGGTAGAATCACTTGGTGTTGTTGGTAGTATTTTAGCTCCGCATTGGCAAGCCTACCGCCCACCCTAATGAGCCCCTTGTCGTCAATAAATGGGTTTAATGACCGCAGCGGGCTATTGGATGTCACTGTTTGGTTTTTACGCAAGTCAGACAGTTCTTGCGTAAATGCATTACCTTGTACTAATCGGAGGATGACTACCTCTGCAAGATCAAGATCCTGCACCGTCAATTGAGTGCTCCACGGGCGAGTGGTGCGATTGTTACGAAGACTCACTCTATGTTTTACTGTGTGATAGAATTTTAAGCAGTACGCAATCACACGGAGCAAACGTGTGTAGTTTGAGAATTTTAATAGGAACCCCGGTACTTGGGATGCGATTTCCCTTATTACAATACAAGAAATGGCCCTTTCTTCAGGAACTTCTGCTGGGATATACCCAGTGATTGGCCATTCCGTTGATGGCTGTGCGAGCCATGATGGACCGTTCCACCAAAAAGATAGCTTGTCCAAAGCGGAAGGCTTGACTCCCCGCGACAATAAATCAGCTGGGTTGTCCCCAGAAAGTACGTGGTTCCATGGTCCCGTCGAAAGTGTTTGAATCTCAGAAACCCTGTTCGCTACAAAGGTTTTCCATCGGTTCGGGGACCCCTTGATCCACGCTAGTGCTATCATTGAATCGGTCCAATAGAATTCTTGGACCTTTTGACTGCGGGACGCTACTCGAACCTTATTCACAAGTTGCGCTAGTAATAATGCCCCACATAATTCCAAGCGAGGAAGGCTTATTGTTTTAAGCGGTGCCACGCGTGTCTTTGCGCAGAGGAGCTGTGTCAATGCTTTGCCCGTTTCTGAAATCGTGCGCAGGTAGATGCACGCCCCAAATGCCCGTTCGGAGGCATCGCAAAACCCATGCATCTCTACCTGCACAGGATTCGGGCACAATACGCACCGAGGAATTGCGAGCCGTGTTAATGACCTGAGGTCCGCATAAAAATCATGGAACTCGGAATGAATCGCTTGTGGTACGGATTCATCCCATGAGAGTTTTAATTGCCATAGCGACTGTATAATTAGTTTTGCCTGGATGATGACAGGCGCCACTAACCCAAGCGGATCAAAAATTTTGGATACTTCGGATAGAATTGTTCTTTTCGTAGTCCGTAAGACTGGTTGAGATTCTACACTGACTCGCAACTCATCGGTGCATGGTTCCCACAGTAGTCCAAGAGTCTTTGGGTCCTTTTCTGCTTGTAAATTCAGATCTCTGGATTCCGTTAGAACCTCTTGAACCACTGCCGGAACATTTGAGGCCCACTTTCTAAGTGGTAGGCCTGAAGATTGCAATATTTTCTCAAGTGATACTTTAATTTCTATTGCTTGTTCTACTGTTTCCGCGCCCGTTAGCAAGTCATCCACGTAGAAGTCGTGGATGATGATATTACTTATTACTGGATCTAGATGAGACTGATCCAATCCAATTTGCCGAAGGACGCAGGTCGCTAAAAACGGCGCGGACGCAGTGCCGTATGTAACCGTATTCAATTCGTACGTTTCTAATGGGAGCGTAGGTTCTTCGCGCCATAGAATCCGTTGAAAAACTCGCTGCTCGGGAGCGACTAAAATCTGCCGATACATCTTGGCGATGTCGGCGCTCAAAATAATCTGATGCTGTCTGAATCTAATGAGTATGGAAAATAGATCGTCCTGAACAACAGGACCGATCTCTTGAGTATCATTTAAAGAATATCCGGAACTGGTTTTCGCGGATCCGTCAAATACAACGCGCATCTTGGTCGTTGTGCTTGCTGCCTTTGTCACCGCATGGTGTGGCAGGTAATAGGCAGGACCGGCCTGCGTTCGAGAGTCCCGACTTACCTGAGTCATATGACCCAGTGCGAGGTATTCGCTCATAAAAGACACGTATTCTGTTTTCAGAACAGGTGTCCTGTTCAATTTTCTTTCCAAGCCGAAGAACCTACGCTCCGCCATGGAATATGAATCGCCGAGCTTTGCCAGGTCCGAGTTAAACGGAATCGTAACAATAAACCGGCCGTCGGAGTCTCGCTTTACCGTCTCATTAAAATGCTCCTCGCACGGGTGAGCTGGAAGGTGACCGAGTGTTGGGATTTGTTCGATATCCCAAAATCGAGTTAATTGTGAATTTAATTGATCATTCGTGACTACATTGCACGACTGCGACTCCGCGTTGAGCGACGCCCGAATTTTCCCACCGAAAACCCATCCGAACTGGGATTTGAGCAATACCGGAAGACCCTGTCCCAGGCGTTTCTGTCCTACGCTCATTATCTCCCACAAATGCCCATTCCCTATTAGCATGTCTACATCACGCGGTTTGTCAAAGGATGGATCTGCTAATCTGACATTTGCAGGGATGTTCAATGCTGATTTGGCGATTTTAAAATTGGGAATATCGGAAGTGATCTTTTGCATCAGTATGCATGACATCGTAGTTGAATATCCGTTTTGCAGCGATTGTATTGTAACGCGAGCCTTACCCTGAGCGCGTTTACCTGCGTCCGCGGCCCCTACCCCCGAGATCGCTAATTGGGTCGGTTTACAACTCAAGCCGACAAATTTCGCAAATGACTTTTTATGATATTTACTTGCGAGCCTTGGTCGAGTAACGCCCTACATTCAAATTTTTGTCCCTTGTCGTTGAGGACATGTATAATAGCCGTGGATAAAAGAACATGCTCTTTTCCCGACGAGTCATGAGTTGCATAACTCTGAGGGGGCGTATTATTTACTACATTTGCTATACTAACGACGGGATCTGCAACCACGGGATCTACGGTAGGCGTCGAGTCATTTTTTAAATGAATCAACGTATGATGGTTGCCGTTGCATTTGTGGCAATTCCCCTTGTTGCAGGTGTTTGAACCATGACCTGGTCGCAGGCAATTAAAACAAATACGGAATTCTTTGACCTTCATAAACCGAGCGTACGGAGTCAAAGCTTTAAACCGTTTGCATTGTGTGAGAGGATGATCCGACGAACATAATGGGCATTCTAAACTTTGCATGCTAACCAGCGTCATGGGGTGAGGTTGCGGTTTCTGACCTGGGTTCCTATTTTTCGGAGGGAACGGACCCGGAGGTATTACTCGAACTGACTTTATTAGGATTTTGTACTGCTTTTCGAGAAATGTCTGTAAATCTGCCAACGTTTTCTTACGGCCTATTTCCGCGACCCGTTTATCCCACGCTTCGCTCGTTTTCCGGTCGAGTTTGGTCGCTAATAAATGGACCAAGATCGTGTCCCATTTTTCGACGGGTTCCTCCAGCGAGGTTAAGGATTTTAAATTGTTGTTAAAGTCGTCTAAAAGTTGCCTCAGACTCGCCGGTGAGTCCTTTGGCAACGTCGGCAAGTCGAACAATGCACCGACGTGGAAATCGATTAATTCATTTGTGTCTTCGTAACGCTCGCACAAGAGCTTCCACGCGGCCGTGTAGTTTTCATCTGACATCGGTAATGCTTTCAATGCCCGAGCAGCGTCTCCCTTTACTGCTGATCTCAAATAGTGAAACCGTTCGATATTGCTTAACACGGTATTTTGGTTTATCAATGATTCGAAGCTGTCTCGAAAATAGACCCATTCTCCGACCGTCCCGTGAAAACTGGGCAACGGAACTGACGGCAATCTAACCGAGGGTGCCGCTACGGAGGCTGTGGGTGATGCAGCATCTACACGAAACGTCTGTTGCGCGGTAGAGCTCGGATTCGGAACCGGAGCACGCTTAGCCGAAACATGTTCGCGAACCGCGCCTATGATATCGAAATACGCGTTTTCGAACGCCTCGCGAATTTGATTTTGCGTGTGTTCTTCCGGTGTCCCGGCGGTGATCGCATCGATGCGATCCTGAATCGACTCAAATCTATCGAGTAAATGGAGATTTCTGTGCAACCGTTCCTCCAATGCAGCAGCCCCGGTGGTTGCTCGCTGCGTCTCGAAACATGTCTTAAATCGCGTGAGCGACGATTTAACGCGACCGCGTTCCTCGACTAACTTATTCAAAGTATCCTCTCGTGGGGTGGCCATTGTTCAGCGCAAAATGAGAAGTAAATGAAAACTCGACTCACCGGACGTAGACAAGAGTCTGCACAGGACTCGCTTAGACGGCCTCTGCAATTCTCCAGGAATCGGTGGTCCTGTTGTCGTGCCCTTGGAGTGCTCCTTGGTGAGCTGAATGAAGCGTCTGTCGCCTCGTAGGTTGCTGAATGAAGCGCCTGTCGCCTCGTAGGTATACTGCCACACTGGCAGTTATCCTCTCTCGTTCACGAACGTGATGGGTCACACGATACGGCGACTGTCCCCGTATCACACTCTTTGCAATCGAGTGTACTCTCAATCCACGATCCGGCTCGAAGGACCAATGTTCGCGCCCGAATTGTTGTAGGTCGGATTGGAGTGATGCGATGTCGTCGTGTTGGAGAGGTTTCAAATGGTTTATTTTTAATAATAACAAAGTGGACTGTATGAATGTTTTCAAGCGCGTTGAACTGTGGGAGGAACTGTTTCCCCCGCGCTTACTTTATCAAAATGCGTTCAACTCAAGTAAAACTGCTGTACTGTTACAGACTTGTTAGTTAGACTTGTTAGACTTAGTCGCTTAACGACTGAACCGAGAATTGACCTGGTTTGTCGGTTGACGACTGAAACTAGAATGAACCTGGTTTGTCGGTTGACGACTGAAACTAGAATGAACCTGGTTTGTCGGTTGACGACTGAAACTAGAATGCCCAATGTGTCCGGAGTCCGTTTCCTCCTCAGCTTAGATCCCCTCCAAGAGGTACACTTGGGGGGTGTTTTGCAAATTCATCTGTGGAATCGTGAGTCGATTGATTGGCCATCGACTTGGGAGAGGAGGACCCATTTTCCTGCCCCAGTTTGGCAGCAAGCTCCTCCTTCACCTCGGTGGTGGAGGAAAGTCCCAGGCCACGCTGGCGAGGGTGGCCGAGGTTTCCTCCCCAAGTCGACGGCCGCGTTACTTTATCGAGGAAGAAACGGAACTCCGGATTATCCACGCAACAAGGGGTTGCGTCTGGTCTACGTCTGCTTTTATGGCTATATTGTTCCGCGTGTCGGCGGTGGCCTTTGTCGTCGGTGCCTACATTTGGCCTCGACGACCGTACCACCCGCGGAACAATATAGCCCTTCGCTGGTCAACTCGAGTGTCGCGTTTCTTTCGTTTTCCAAAAATGCTATTCTTTTACATTGACATTTGCCAGATGCGAGAGACTCGAAGACGTTTGCAACGTAGTACCGATCCCGCATCTGGCAACATAAAGGACCGGAAACAACTCGAGTTGGCCAGCGGAATGAGCGAGCTTTTGTTTACCGAACAATAAGTAATCATAAGGAATGAATAATTGAACATAAGTTAACATAAGTAATCATAAGGAATGAATAATTGAGCATAAGTTAACATAAGTAATCATAAGGAATTTAGAAAATAGTATTCTTAACCTAACAGTAATAACATCTTAAAATAACGATATCTCTTAAAGTAAATAATATGAATTAATTACATTCTCCCCGAACCCAATGTTTCATATTCTCCGGTGCACAAATTCCTTCGAAAGGTATTTGCGTTAATTGTTCACCTTCCGGATCACAAACAACATATCTGTCGTTCTGTAACACTCGCTTCACCGTATAAGGTCCTCGAAATTTAGGCAAAAGCTTCTTATTTACGCCGGGCGTAACGTCTAGATTCTTAATTACTACATAATCACCTAACTTATACTTAGTAGGAACTTTATGTTTTTTATCATAATATTGTTTATTATATGCACCACTCGTTCCAGTTTGCCTAACAGCCTTTGCTCTAATTTCGTTTAAATCTCTATCTATCTTATTTTGTTCTTCTAAAATTACTCTTAACTCATCATTAATACGGCCTGTTTGATTAGTGCCAAAAAGTAATCACGCGGGAGTATCTCCGGTTGAACGATTTACCGTGTTATTCAAAGCAAATTCAATATCGGCTAAAACGACATTCCAATTACTTTGACTTTGGGCCAGTTTCGCTAACATAGGTGTTAACGTTCTATTTACCCGCTCGATTTGCCCATTCGCATGAGGCGTAACCGTGGCTATTAAGATATGTCGAACTCCATATTGCGATAAAAACTCTTTAAACTTTAATGAGGTAAATGCGCTGCCCCTATCACTTATAGTTTCTGAGGCTATTAATATATCGTCTAAATAAATAAGTATTTCTCCGAGATCAATAAGTGGACGAAACACAGTGTGGATATAACGCATAAAAAATGACGGTCCATTCGACAGTCCAAACGGCATGTGTGTATATTCATACTGGCCCATAAAGGTTACAAAAGATGTATATCCGATAGACGATTCCCTCAGTTTAATATGGTGAAAAGCATCCTTAAGGTCAAGTTGAGTGAAAAAATTCTTACCACGTAAACTGTCTATTTGGTCCTCTATCCGAGGAATTGGGAAATTATCCCGAAGCGTGATTTTATTCAACTCTCTATAGTCTATCGCCATCCTAATTTGTCCATTCTTCTTCTTCACTAATACAATCGGACTACTATATTGCGAGTTGCTCGGCCGAATAATTTCCCTTTTTAATAAGTCCTGTATAATTTCCGTTACCGCTATTTTCTCAGTGCAAGAAAGACGTCGAGGATTAAAGTAAAATGGATGATGGTTAGGCTTAAGTATCAGTTCCATTTCCAACTTAACATTAGGCGAGTCTGGACGCAATGCCTCTACATACCGATCCCGAATAATAGTTTTTACTTTATTTTGAGTTTCCCAGTCTAACTGTTCATTTATCTTAAGATCATTAGAATCCCCTGGCGGTTGATTGTCACTTACGTTAATGTGTAATATTTCAAGTATAGCAGAATCGGTTTCTGCTCCGCCCTTCATTTTACTAATTTTTACCGTTTTCCCAAACTGAACTTCAATACTGTCATTTGCAATAAAATCTCGTCCTAACAAACATTCGCAAGACATGGTCACCCGAGGTACTATAAGAAAATCGATAAAAACTTCACAATCCTGTACCCTAACCTTTTGCTTAAGCCGCCCCAAAATGTTAATCGGACTCTTATTGATCCCCTCAAATTTCGAATCATCTAGATAAGGATCTATAGTTATTTCGGCCGGTATTCGCGCTACGTCTAATAAAGAAATAGGACTGCCAGTATCTAACACTGCTAACATGTCACCAATGTCTAAATTTACCGATACAGTATACGAAGGAATTAAAGCGTCATTTATTTCGACTAAACGTGTCGTCTTATCTTCGCCTGTTGATGTAGGTCGTGACTGCATTGCGATCTTCCGGCGAGGACAGAACCGTTTTTGATGATCCACCGCCCCACAGATATAACACGAACCTCTTTCGCGTGTCGGCTTCGGGCACGCTGACATCACATGGCCTATCTCGTTGCAGTTGTAACAACGCAG